AGATTATACGTGTTAGGATACATGTCCATGACTATTTATTTCGCAATTGGATCAAAGCTGGTCGACTGGCAGGCATCTTGTTTTGTTTTTTTATGCGGTATCTTGGATGTGCTCTGTCAGTTTTCATTCAAATATGGCACATACATGTACTTTATACATGTTAGGATGCATGTCCATTATAATCTGTTTCATAATCAGATCAAAGATGGCCGAATAACAGCTGTTTTTATTTTTGGCCATATTACTACTACATGAAACGCGTGTTTTGATGTAAATAAACAATCTGTTGTATACGCCACTTGGAACTCACGTTTCAAGGACACGTTCGCTTTAATATGACAGCACAAAGAGAACTTTCAAAAATTTAACGGGGATTGTTGTATTTTCAATGACTTGTTCTCTGTACCGAGTGAGGTGCTGGATAAAAACACTGCATTCAGTCATCAGATTTTTTCCTGTCCGAGTTTTTAGTCTGACTAGCTGTCACCTGCGTGGCAGCTGACTCTGTGGTTGGTAGGATAAGTCTTTATTTTTTTTACCCCTGTGTCGCCTTATTGTGTGCATTGCCTTGCAAGAAAGAAAAAACTAGGGTGACGCAATTTGGCCACGATGTTGAATCCCTTTGTATCAGCTTTTTAACTGTAATTCGTTCCTCTCATGCATGTCTTGTTCATTATTTACCAATGTGTTGTTAGAAATGGATAGCAAGAAGGGTAATACGTCAGAGGCTCTTCACCTTCTTTTTTTTGTCACCCCAAAGATTGAGGCGATCGTACGGTAGTTGCCACCAGGAATTACCAGCTTGCAACCCACATAGCAATGCTATTTGTGTTCCAACTGTGTGCGGGGCTCAGCATTTTGCCTAGTGATTCTTTTGTAACAACTGGGGTTCCAAGGCCTGGGATGCTTTCCAAGGCCGCGTGCAAATTACTGAGACCGACTAGTTCGCTCTAGTTTGTGGCAGTCACGTACAGTAATGTGAGTGTGAATGAATGGTGTATAGCATGAGTGGAAAGTGCTCCTACTTGTCCACCGAGTGAGAGTGAGAGGCCCGAGACCCCCCCCCCCCCGATCAGAGGGCTTCATTGCAGTCTCCTGCAGGCGACGGTTTGCCCCATCATACCGACAACAGCGAGGCTGTGCCCCTGGAGGTTTTTGCTCCAATGGGGCTCGTTGCGGGTCCCTCTGTGGACCCGTCTTCATACGACACTGGGTTTGCCTTTGAGACTCAGGCTTTGGTTGACCCCCTGCCGGGACAGATTGTGGCCCTTGCAGGTCAGGTATACCAAATACAGAGGTTGTCTTCACTGTAGTTTCCCCTTGTTTTGGCAAGCAGTCACTCTTGTCACTTCTGGCATCCAGACAGCAGACACAGCAATTGGTGGGACACCACACAGCTATGCTAGATATCCTGCAGTGTCATCTGGCTCTTGTGGCAGAGGCTGCCTATGTACAGTGTAATGCGGTTTTGGCTGTTTTCAGTTTTGAAGGCTGGATCTTCCCCACCCTCTTCTTTTTTGAGGATGGAAGGAACAGTCTCGGTGCTTCGGGATCCCACTGACCAGTTGGTACAGGTGAGACTTGCTACTGCCAAGAGCAAGTGGTAAGGACCCCAAGCTGAGAAAACTAACGCCCAAAGTCGGCACCCACTGGCCGGAAGTAGACAGAAGGCAAGCATCCCGGCTCTTCTGGGAGAGGGAAGAGTGGCGATGTGCTCGCCAGGAAGAAGGGACCAGGTGGTGGTCCCCCCTTCCTCGGGGGTCGCCTACCTAGCTCACAAGGGAAGCAAGTTTGATGCTTCTGCTTGCGATGAGGGGGGTGGGCATATGTTCAGCGGCAGTCTGAACCTATCGACTTCTACAGGCAGAGGAGAGATAACCCCTGATGTGGAACTGCTGAACCCACGCATCTCTGTGACACTGATTGTGTCAGTGTATTCAGGTTCGGAGGCAGTTTGTAACCAATCCCTGGACTCTCCAGGTGGCGATACACGGTTACAAGATTCCGCTGCAATCTCCACCCCAGCCCCCGTTGGGTGCGCCACTAGCAGGAGCAATCTGACAGGAAAGGGCACTATACACAGGATAGAGGACCCGGTGTTAGGTCCGGGCTTCTACTCGCAAATGTTCCAAAGACTACAGGTGGCTGCACCCCGTTCTGGACTTAAGCAGACTAAGTCAGTATGTGCTTCCTGGGAACACTGAGCACCATATTACTCTCTGTGCTCTCTGTTCTACTGGTTAGCCTCGCTTTATTTGAACAATGCTTACCCACACATACCGATACACCCAGTGAGTCAGTGACTCCCTTGATTCGCCCAGTTAGGCCAAGTAGTCGAGTACAGGCTCCATACGGATTCACCAGAGTGTGGAAACAGGTGGTGCTACTACTGCTGCTGCGCCAGGTGTTGGAACACATCAACCCATACCTAGAAAGCTGGTTGCTACACAACCCAAACATGGGGTGGTTAGTCAAACAGTAGTAAATTGAGCCCCTCATCAGCCAACGCAACAGTTGGTCTTCCTGGGCATGGAGTTTGACACGAAGGGGGGCTTGTTACGGTCATTGCAGGCCCATTGCCTAGGTAACTTGCCAAAGGCCTAGTCAGCGTTCCCTCTGTGTCCCTCCGAGAACTGATGCGGATCATCGGAATGATGACCTCAGTTCGCAGGGTAGTTCCTCTAGGCCGCATTACGCAGCCGTCCGGTATAGTGCACTTTGTCGCAACACTGGATTCACTTACGGGAACTGGAGAGGCAAGTAACACTCTCGGATCAAGCGAGGGATGCCTTGTCCTGGTGGTTGGCAATTGTCAACCTCAGGCAGGGGTTCCCTTGGACCCACTTGCCACAGCTATGACTCTGGAAACGAATGCCTCCCTCACAGGTTGGGGAGCGCACCTATTGGGCGAACAAGCCCAATGAATATGGTCCCTGCATTGGGTACAGGATCGTCATATCAACACGCTCGAACTGAAAGAAGTGCACTTAGCACTGATATGCTTTCTACCCATAGTTCGAGGCCACAGAGTCCTGCTTCGCATGGACAACACAGCGGTGGTTTCCTCTTGCAACAAGAAGGTGGGGGTGGGGACCAGATCCCCCATTGTTTTCCTAGCAGAGCAAATTTACTTTTGGTACCTGGAATACAATGTGGAGCTAGCAGCACACCACCTTCCAGGGGCGAGAAACAGTCAAGCTCCAGAATGTGGAGTGGCAGATACCTCGGACGTGTTAACCGGGTATTAGAGAAACTTTCACAAGAGCCCAACTGGCCTGGTTTCTACTACTGAGTGGGCTGCCAACGCCCTGGCCATCCTTTTTATCATTTTAGGTTCATTCAGAAACCAGCCACCTATCGGCGTCTGACTCTGCCTACAGTTCAAAATAGTCATTTTGACAGATCGGAGTCTATGGTGGGTAATTAATTGAATGTAGTGAATTTAGGCAGAGGGTTCCCCGAACCCGCCTATTCACATAGTTCATACCCACCATAGACTCCGGGTCCCCCGACCACTCCACTTTTTCTGTAGCGTTGGCTTAGTTCTTGGTGTTGAGAAAAAGAACCAGACTGATTGCGAAGGCAATATGGCGCCGCCTCATTACCTCGCTCACATGGTTCGTGACGTAACTGGAAAACCTTGAGGTCATGGGGCTTTCCCTGACTAAGATTTCTGTCTCCGTCGTTGGCTGAATCGCAGATTAATGCCTACAGTTCAAAATAGTCGTTTTGACTGACCAGAGTCTATGGTGGGTATGAGCTATGTGAATAGGCGGGTTCGGAGAACCCTCTGCCTAATTTTCAGCCAATCTTCTATGATTTTTGGATAATAATATTAATTCAGTCCAGCAGTTTATTAGAAATGCAGGGGGAACCAAAATGTAAGTCACTCTGACGACGAAAAGTCAGCGTTAATAGCCAAAGGGCAATAGACTGAATTTAAAAAATTTTTTTTAACCCAATTGTGTCTTTTGTTTGGATTGATCATTCTGTTGTACACTTTCATCTCATTGATTTCCAACAGCAATGGCATATTCTGTTGCAGTCAGGATAATGACTGTGGCAGTGTCAGACCTGTGTAGCAATAAAACAATGCACTGTACCACCACACTGTTTACATTTTGGGAAGAACACTGAATCACGGTAGTTTAAATGTAGAGGAAACGGTTTTGGGAATTGTTCATTTCTTTTGATATCTTTTCAGAGTTTATGTTGTCGACAAAGTCAAGTAGAACTATCATATTACTTTTTGTTGAAAAAATATCAACTTTTACGTTATTTATTGACATAAATACAACTTTCACTCTCTACTGTGATATTCATAGTCATATACATCTACTTTGGTATGACATAATCGGTCTATAAGTTAAAAGAAACTTGATTTCACCAAAGCTTGGTTAGAGGTGTTTAGAAGCCTTATATATATATATACTCTATTCTGGTCTTTAAAGATAATGTCCAGCATTACAATACCGTGAACCAACAAACAAGTCATTCACTCCATTCACTACACACAACTCCCCAAAATACTGCAGTGAATATGCTCAAAACACCAAAATTGTGAAATTAAATGTCAGTAAAAAATAAATGGTTTTACAGTAACTTATTGAACCAACATTGTTCTGTACACATGCAGTAGTCTACATTAAAAATATTCGCAAATATATAATGAAGCAGAGCATCATATTCTCCAGATAACTTCGAAATAATAAGTGAGCCACTTTAATATTGCCTTCTATCAACCATTCAACATAAACTTCTACAAATTATAATGTTCGGCCCTCCCACATGCATGCCTGCATTGGTTGGTTTATTCATCATTCCATCAATATTAGCTTGTTGGAATTCAATGAAATTTGGTACATAGATTGAAATCTGTGCATACTAATTTCATAATTCAACACACAGTCTGTTTTTTCCTTGTTATCCTGATAATACAAAACTAATTTGGTACACTTATATTATATTGACTTATATTATTGATTATTTATATTTTTCAGTTGTATGGGGTGAATGCAACCATTCATTTCACAATTGCTGTATGTCACTATGGGTGAAACAAAACAATAGATGTCCACTATGTCAACAAGAATGGATGGTACAACGTATAGGAAAATAACAGAGATACATGTAAAAAGAGAAAGACACCATCACATGGCACCATATATAGAAAAATAGTAGAGAATCAAGCTTTGCACCATTTATACCTTGTGAATCAGTAGAAATGAAATCCAGCAAAAAGACCTTACTTTCATATATTTTATACAATCAGCCAAATTATCCATTCAGTGAAAATTCCTGCTCTAAAATAAAGTATTTTACAGTACCATTGTCACTTTCACAAACCTCTCTGATACCATAACCACTATTTTGTATTTACCCCACAAGTACCTTTAATTGGGTGATTCTTGTCAAATTTATTTATTTACAGTTTCTTTAATTCTCTTTTTTTGGATATTGTATTGTTTTCTGTACATAATTTAGTATGCCTCCAATCAAATTGTATGTTTAGATATAATATGCTGGTAATTTGTTAAAGACAACATTAATAAAGTAATGCAACTTAAACAATGATTTGTTTTTGTCAGTTTAATATCTTCATGTGTGTGTGTCATGGTCAAAGGGGTCAATTATATCACACGGCCACTAACAGTCAAAAGGGTCAATCATCTCACAACAAGACACTAACGGTCAAATGGGTCAATCATCTTGCAACAAGCCACTAATGGTCAAAAGGGTCAATCATAT